CAAACGCATGACTCCTGAAACACAACTTCAAGTATCGGTGTGCGTTTAATTGGCAGGAGGTACATGAAAAGATTGATACCACCCGCACGTCAGGGTATAATTTCCACTGGGAATGAAATCCTATCTCTGACAGTCTCGCTGTTATTGTTCCAGGTTGATTTCCTCACAGAAAGGATTAACTGCAGATGCAACTCAGGGCTAAACATGAGCAAGTCTATCTGGGTGAAATTAATACTCCTCCAAAAATAGGCTTGAATAAAAGGATACAGCGGTGATGGTGGAGACGCAGCAGAAGTCTGACCAGCTACAGAGCAGATCGTGTCATATGCAGCATATTTAGGAGGATGAAGCTTGTCGCATGGAAAACTAACACACTAGGTTGAGCTGTGGACATGAATGAATACAGCACATCACGAGCTCCTGTGTGCGCTCTGGAGGTGTTTTCCATGATGCACTCGCTGATGTGGAGAGGCTGATGAGGGCTCTGACTCAGGCGTCCACGCCGCCCTTTACCTCCCTCCAGGGAGCTCCCTTTGAGCCCCTCGCTCCCCCCAGTCAGAGGACAGGAACCGCAAACAGCCCCCTTCATCTGGCAAAATGACAACCGCTGACAATGAGGACTGTCCTATTTGACACAGGGCAGACTCCAAAGACATTTTGTCCTCCCGCGGCCAGCTGTTGGCCGAACACTCCTGTGCAACTTCAAAGAGAGGCGAACAAAGTGAGGGCTGACAGGGAGGACGGCACTTCTAGACAGACGGTGCGATGCAGAGGTGTGGCTAGCAAGGGTGGCAGAAAAGCACCGGGTCCGTCTCATTTTCCCCATAAAGGCCCGACTGCAGAGTGTCGCTGAGGGATGCACGTCAGTGACACATGATATATCTCCGGGAGCCACACAAGAGGTGGACACGCACCAGTTAGCAGGAGCCACAAGAGATTTCCGACTGCTTTGTGCTCTTCATTGCTCCTCCTCTCGCAGTGATTAGTTTTTACAGTCGGCGGATGCAAATTGGAATTCGCCGACAGCCCATCAATCACATTTTGGCTGCAATCTGTCGAGCAGGCCGACACATGCCAGGAGACATATCGTACAGTCAATCCGCTCCCAGACGGTCAAATGTATCCCAACATTTAATTTTCATCCACGCTCAAGTTGGAGAACGAGCTGCTTGTCATTGGTCTCAGCGGCCACAAACAGCTCTGGTACTTCCAGCTTTCTTATTTATACAGCAGCAGCAGCCTCCTGCTGTTTGAATCCGATTTAGTGAACGACGGATGAGGAGCTTTCACTGGATTCATCAGGTTTACGCCTCAGTTCATGGAACAGACACTCCTTGACCTTTCTGGCATCAATATGAGATTTTTGACGTACAGTCGTCCTCAAACGTGTTCATAGGCTCCCATTAAAGAAAGAAACCAACAGGTGTCACTGAAATAAGTAGAAATTACAGAAATAGCAATAAATAAAAATGTAATGAACATCATGACGTTGCTTTGAATTGTGGTTCAACAGAAATC